AAACTGAAGAGAGATGCTGATTTGTTGACAAGGGCAACTGCTCCAGATTCTGCCTTCTCCAGTTTTGATAAATTCCCCCCATTGAATACTCACCTATCCCACTGTCCATGCCCTGATCATTGCAGGAGTAAAAAGAAAATGACGATGGTTCCGATGATACTATGGTTCCTCCTGTTGGCCCCCGATGTCACTTCTGGACACAATAGTAATGTAGGGGCTGGCAGGTCAAACCACTAAAGGTAATGGGGGACCTGAAATCTGACACATCCAAAATGTATACATGATATAGAATGTAAGCTGACCATTTCTGCTCATTATTGCAGATATCACTGCAGGGAGCAGGAGTGATGAGCATTTAATGGATTATTTGCAGGAAGGCATTTATTGTACCAATTTAATTTAACAACAGAGTCACTTTAAGTACCTTAAAGGGTCATCCTGACCAAAACAATTGACGTTATGGGTAGATGCCAATGGGTTAAATGTCCTACTGGCTTTTGATATCTATTAGGATTCCCTTAAGCTTAGGATCCCTGGGTGTTGTAATAACAGGTCACCACTTTTGTATGGATTTAGACTTCAGTACACATGGCTTAAAATAAATGTGTAATAGTTTATTCATATATTTTATGTTTATTCATATATTTTATGTATTTTATACATATATTCCTATAATTTCATACAAAGGATGTAAGATGTTATTTAAAAAAATTGACCCAAAACTATCATAATGTCCCTTTAAAGAAGGGGTGGGGACCCTCTGGCCCCCCAGCTGTGTGAAGCTACAAATCCCATAATGCATCTGTCTCTGGGAGTCGTGGCTGTGGTAATCTTGCAATGCCTCATGGTATTTGTAGTTTCACCTCAGCTGGAGGGCCAGAGGTTCCCCACACCTGCTTTAAATGATAAACAAACAGCTAAACACACAGTTGAAACACACACAAAAGATTAATGGTTATGCATTTCCTCTTGCCGTTCATTGGTCCTTGTTGCATTACATGACTACATAACGAGGGTGACAACACTCTAAAATGTGCCTTTTTGACAGCCCTAGCAGTGCATTTTCCCCTCTACCCATCAACGTACAGAGAAGACACTACCACAGCCCATCTTTTAGCTGGCATTGGCAACCCAGCATTAAGACAGATCTCAGTTAATTACTGTTACTGAATTCAAATATATTGTTGTGATTTTTACTACATGAACTAGGCCGTGTTTTTGATGAACTTGCCTTGGACTTTAAGAAGGTTAGTTATTAGTTCTTTCTGAACTCTGAGTCTTGTCACGTACAGTCTGAATGTCTCCATTTATTTATAAGCTGGAATATATCTGCAAAGGTTTTTTTTTCATTCTAATTATTTTTATTGCATTCCTAATGCACATAGGGGCAAAAAAAGTATAGTTGTTTAAATTGCTAAATGCAATAAGATGAATTTCATCTACCGAGACAGTATTTAAATAGTAATACTGCCCCATAGACTTAATCTCATTAGACCACGCTGGCTTAGAGTTACATTTTAGTTGAGATTTTACAATCTCTATGCTCAGTAATTTTGTGGTGGAAAAGCATGCATGCTGCATATTTACATGATAACATAGCCGGTGAGGTAAAGCAGAACATTAAGCCACACTTTATACTGGCTTCTAGTCATAAAGAAACAGCTATAGTATTCCCCACGTCAAAACAAACTGGAGAAAAAAAACTGAAACAATACAAGCTTTAGCCAGATACCGTCTTGGTGAAAATAGGCTTCTGTGTTTGAACCTGGTTAAAGGAGGTCATTCAGACAAGACTGAAATTTGGTGCTGACCCTTCTGTCTGGTAAAGAGGATTAATTTCTAGTAAACCACAGGGACACGCCATGATACTCTTTTTACTTTTGATCGCTAGGCTATAGTTCATCTTATTGATATAATAATGCACACAGAGAGTCATCTTCGGCCCTCCAGCTGTGTTGAAGCTACCATTGCCATTATGCATCTGCCTCTCAGTCATGTTTGTGGCTGTCAGAGTTTTGCAATGCCTACGGGGATTTGTATTTGCAGCACAGCTGGAGGGCCCCCCCTACTGATCTTAATAGTAAGGGTGTGTTGTTACACAGTTGTAAAAATATGATACAATACATAGCCACGGTTAATATTTATATGAATGTGCAATGAGAATCACATAGTTAATTTTCCTTTAGCCATTTGCTCATTGGTATTTTATAGCTGGTTATTATAATGCCATCTTGTGCGCAGTTTGGTTATTGCACAATTCCCTCCCCTTGTGTGTAATGTACTGCCCTTCTTCTCCAACTAGTCGTGTGTCATGGCTGCCTATAGCAGGACCACATGTACATGCTAGCTTGGAAACATTATCATCCTTGTCCTTTAAATACCGTCTGTTCATTCATCTGCTGTATCCTGTTGTCTGCCTTAACCTGCTGCAAACAATAAGCCTCTTCATGGATGAAAAGGTATTTGGTGAGTTCAGCTATCTAATAAGGATAGTCTGCAGTGATTATATCTGCTTATACAGGCCAGGCGTAGAGGTCTCAGCAAGGGATAAATCACTAATACAACAATCGGAGTCAGAATAAAGGGTGCAGTACCAGGTTTCACCAGTTGGCTGCATTGCAGTGTAATTGGAAATTGCAGCTTCTGTTACTTTGTAGAATTAGAGAACTAACAGGTCTATTCACGAAAGGGTGAAGAGTTTGGAGAAGTCAGGAGAAGTGAACAATCTAGGACAAAATAGCCGATTTGGAAAAATTCCCCAATTCAGCTCACTTTCCAGTTCAGCTATGTTGTCCTAGATTGTTCACTTCTCCTGCCTTCCCCAAACTCTTCACCCTTTTGTTAATAGACCCCTAAGTGTGGATAGAGGCAATGTAACTAGATCTAATGGTCAAAAGTGAGGCTTACGTTTGGCCCAGATAATTACATTTCCAGTTAAACACTGGTAAATAATTCCAGTTACTTTAAAGAGTACATTGCTTCCTTATTGAAAACATACATGTTAAATAAATAAGCATATTTCACTTCCTGATTGCCAATACCTTGAACCTCGATTGCCAGTACACAAAATTACCCGGCATACACCTTAGACTCCTGACGGTTACATACAGTTAAGTGTAATAACTCTTTTCTATGTCATTTCATACAAAGAAGGTCCGGGAAGACTTTTATAGCTGACATTTCATTCTGTGCCAGAGGTGGGAGGAATAGGAATTAGTGCTTGTGGTGTAGTTCTAGGTGAACAGCTCCTGAAAAGTCCCTCTTGATATACTGCAATGATCCCAGTAAACACATCTGAAAGGGGTATATTTATAAAGCAGTGAATCTGACATTCGCCAAACATTCACTGCATGTGAATCTTCCTGGTGTGTTTTAAATGACATTGATTGATTCACTAGCAGTAAATGTTTGGTGAACGTTACATTTACTGATTTTAAAATACGACCCAACGTTTCTGTAAACCTTAACAGTGAACTTCTATGATTGGATTCATTGTGGTCTGTTAAATATACCTTTAACCCCTTAACAACAAAGACCTTTTTTCATTTTAGGCCTGAAAATTACTTAGAACCCCCAAACATTATATATTTTCTGAAAGCCAAGACCCTATAGAATAAAATGACAGTTACAAATGTTTATGTTGCACGACATTAGCGCAACTGAAACTGCAACAGAATTCAGTACCCCAATAAGTCCATAGACAACATTTTCAAAGCCCCCACAGGTCATCAGTGTAGAGATACGCATAATTATTGGCCCTACAATTATTGCTCTCTGGCGTGAGCGGTGATACCCAACATGTGTAGCACGATCATCGGTTTCATACATGGGCTCACCTGACGCGTGTTTACGTGACGATGCACGTGCTTGGTGTGGCAGGGGACTTAAAAAAATAGTTTTTATTGTTTTTACATTTTATTTAATATTTTAATATTATTTTTAAAACAGTTTTTTTGTTTTAAACTTTACTTGAATTGCTATCACATAGGGGCTTACACCTTTACACTCCACATAAGCTATTGAAGTGCAGATCACACTTCAATAGCTTATTGCTGGGCCTATGCCGGGAGTCTGTTTAACCTCTTCAAACTTCACGATGGGATTATCCCGTCATTGGTCATGTAGGGTTGAAAGCATTTTGTAATGTGTTCCATACATTTTTTTTTTTAAAACACCTGTGTATCCTGCAAAAAATCCAGTGAACTCAAACGTTCCTGTGTTCTCTTTAGTGTTATTGGTCCTGCTCAGTTATCTCTGTGAACTACAAAATAACTCCCACCTTTGTTATGGAAAGAGTGAGGTGTAGTTTGTACTCCTAGCATTCTTGCTTTTGTTAATGTTCAAGTGATCAAAAAAAGATGACCAGATTTCATTTGCACCTTGTAATTCAATGTAAAGAGAATTTAAAGACTACATGTGTCTGTGTTGTATTATTGAATGGTTATGTTGTCATGCCAGTTTGATTCAATGCAAAAAACCCTAAAATCAGAATTCCAATATAACACATGCCTTCAGAAAGTGTCTAGATCATGCCCCAAAAGAATGGAAAGGTGCTACATGAAGGAGGAGAGAGGTTGTAGTGTGTCTTGTATTAGAGAGAAGAAAGCATCCCCAGAAGAGAGGTAAATGCTTGTTGTTGCTCTTCCCTGCAAGCCAATTGTGAGCTTTCCTAAGAAATATGCTCATAAAAAGGGATGCCTTCTATGATATAACTCTGTATGCACAAAACATTGCTTCTATGAACAGCTATATCAGGAAACAGAAAAGCAAATGACTATTAGCAGCTTTACTGATCCCTCTACAGGTCTCAGAGGGCAGAAAGAAAAAGGAAAAAGATGGTTACACTTGTTATTTTGATTTGCCTGGATATATTGGAGGGGGAAGGGTCTCTTAGTAGTGCACTTCTTCTTTAAAATTACAACTCTGTGTAGCAGATTATAGTGGGGGTCACATGCTTGTTGATGGTTAGATTAATACATTTCTTTTTCCTTCTTTTTCAGCTGTTGATTGGTATGGTCGGCTCTACTGATGGTGTTCTCCAAGAAGCTTCTGCTGGTTGCATAGCCAATATACGCCGACTGGCTCTGGCTAATGAAAAAGCAAGATATGGCTAGAGGAAGAGGAATTATATCTACTACTTGTTCATTTGCTCTTTATACCCATTGACTTGATGTTTCCATGATGAGCCATTTCGGATTGTACTGATTGTGTCAGGAAATTGCTATGAGCACAGCTAGCTGAAGGTAGCAGTTTGGAGTGCAGATTGATGAATGCTAGAAAAGAAAAAACAAAGATAAGTAAAGCATGTTTGTCTCAGGTCACCTCCACAAGAACACCTTGGCTCTGTCTTCCTTTCCACCATCACCGGACCAGAACCAGACCATACTTTTTTTTAATCGCACCAGAAATGCATCCCTATGTTTTTCTATGGTATTTAGGGCTGTAGTTTCCACCAGTGCAGTCAGTTCCACTGCGTTAGTACTGCAGGCACTGTTTTGTCTGGTCTGGAACGCACTGGAACGCGTAATAAATGCGTAGGAATGCACCGGAACGCGCTGGCACACACACCAAAAAATTATATATATATTTTGTGTCACTTTTGATGACCTAATCAACAGTGGACACTTCCTTATGGAAAAGCGTTTTCAGCTGTACATTGCTGACCTTGACATTGTCCTCTGTGTTCTATCCAACATGGTGGACACACATATTGACACTGGCCATTTTGTCACCTATGTGCAGGAGTGTCCTGAGCTTTATGATCCCACAAATCCACAATTCAAGAAAACCAGACACAGTGCTAAGACAATGTCAGCATTCCATGGCTCCATATTTGCTTAACTCCTGTGAAGGTTACAAACACGGGAAAGACTGAGAGGAGGCAGGAAATGACCTCAGAGACATAATCTTCATACTTAAAAAAAACAAAATGCGGCAATAATGCATCAACAACAGAATAAAACACTGCAGCTCCGTTTGAAAAAAAGCATCAAGATCTGGTCTGGAGATGGTGGAAACAAGCCCTTAACGCAACTATGACACTAAAAATAAATGTATACAATAAGATTTTCCCTGCACATAACACACCGAATACCCACTTCTGCTGCCAGCACCACCAATCTCCTCTGCTGTCCTGAAGAGGAACCACTGGCTGAATAATCTACAGAATCCAACACTTCAAGGAGTTTTGATTTCCTGACCCCTCTCTGTGCACTTTGGTTTCTCCTGTTAGCACCTACTTCACTACAGGACATAGTAGTGACCTAGGGGCTGGTGGAAGGAACCACTGAGTACAGCACAGGGGACCAGGAATCCAACACCTCCAGAAGCGGTGGATTCTCCAGTTCCTCATCCAACAGTTTCTCTGCACTGTAGCAGAGATTAGCAGTGCTGGTGGTGGGAGAGAATAAAATGTCTTATTAAGTGTTGCATGTTTTACTAAATACTGTAACTCCTGTATTAATCAATATTAGGGAATGCACAGTAAGTACACCTATACTGCTATTGAGAGATGACACGTTGGTGATAGTACTTGTTCTTATTTGACCTTAATTTGGAATATTTACTGAGAATTCTGTACGTAACCATTTACCTACAATACTCATAAATCAGATACGTGTATTTATTGTATTCTTTGTGTTATCTCCTTGTAAATCTGATCAAGGGGGACCCTCTGAACCTTTGAAACGCGATGGCTTTTCATTCAACTTCACTTTAAAATAAATCAACTGGACTTCACATATTTGCTCCTTCTTTATTTCAGCATAACCAAACATTCTTAGAAATCTGACTGAAGATCTGTATCTTTCCTTCTCCTCTTTCAAAATAAAAAAAAAAGCTGAATGTGTGTTTTAATCTCTCCGTGTTTTTGCTTACTATTTGGAATTCGTTACACTACAAACATTTCCTTGTTAGCCAGGTTCAGTTGACAAGATGGCTCCCTCCAGTGCCGCCAGCATCTGTTTTATTTTAAAAGGATTCAGTTATAAATCTGTTCTTCAACGCTGACCGTACTAGAGATGCTTTCAGTATGTTCAGACAGCATTGTGTACATTGCTCAGTATGCATCACTAGTAAAATCCATAAAACATAATATGTGCTCTATGTCCGCTTATGTCAAAACCGATGTGCATTTCACAGTATGTTACTGCCCTGGATCTTATAAACCTGTCATTGTGTGCTCTGCAGTATTTTTAGACCTGAGCAACACACTGACTGCCAATCAGACCTGACATCTGGCAGTACAGACCAACTGAAGCTGGAATGTCCACTTCATTCCAACAGAACGGTGTAACTTCTTTCAGTGTTACAATGATACCTGCTTCCAACATCGAATTATACCAAAGAAGCTGATATATAAATTAGAGACTGACAGCCAAGGTTCTCCTGGAATCCAGTCACTATGCCTTGCCATGCTGGGACTTAAGAGTTACAATTTACCTAAACCCAATCCCAATATTTCAGTTTGTTCATTAGTCTTACCATGTATCCAGTGTCACACTGTACACCAATGTTCCAAGATGTTTACTCAGAGAAAATACAAGCTCTACTCAATCCATGCAACTATATTCAGTATAACACAGATGCCTTTATTAAAACGGGATTTTGAGTCTAAACTCCTTCATGTAATTCAGGGAAGTTCCACACCTACCTACTGTTCTCAGTCTGTCCTAAGGTTACAATGTATCTATATGGTGGTCATGCAGCAACACCATACCAAAAACAGATGGCACTACAGACTATAACTATCGCCAGTATCTGGCAAGCTCCATGCTCATTGGACAAATGCTTCCCTGAAGCAGAGATGAAAATCTGGGAGATGAGACTACAAACACTGCATAATAAGTAATCTAAGAGAGATGCATTTTCTCTAACCCTCTTCTAACAGAGATATATATATATATA